GTATCAGATTGTTCCATCTCATTTCCCTTTGGGGTTGCTGTAGGTGATCCAGAAGTCTGTTTTTGAGGCTTGTTTACGTGTCTTCTCATTTCCACTGAGAGGGGGTTGCTTCTTGCACCCGCGCAGCTCAGCTTCTCTGCCCTAGGAGCTTGGGATGGTGTTGGGGGAGCTTCCTTCCCAGTGCTGGGACTGGCTCACCTTCTGTCCCTGAAAAGGTTTTCATGGGAAGAAAGGAAGGGACCTCTCTGTACCTCTTCACACACTGCAGAGACATGACTGTGATTTAGAGGAACCGTGATAACATTTTTGTGCCATTCTAAGAACATATTTGGAAGCAGAAGAAAAAGTATGAAGAAACCTCCTATATTTTGAAGACATTGAGAAGAACAAGAAAATCACTTTTTTAAGGACAAGAATTTCTTTTTTATTTATTTACTTACTTATTTTTTTTAGGACAAGAATTTCTTGTAAAAATGCAGAGTACTTTTAAGTCTGAATTGCTTCTTTTAATTACATTTAGTACTTTATATACATGATTAATTAATTCCCATTGATAATTCTGACTGCATTTTGAATTCAGGGTATATTTTTTAAAGGAATTATGTGAAACAATTATATTTATATAGGTTTACAAAGTTTTCACAAGGTCTATTTCACTTGCAGAGTAAAAAGGCAGTAATTCAAATTTTAATTTCAAAGCAAATAAATGTAGATCTTTAAAATACTTTTCTAATACCCTTTCATTTATTGGTGCATTTAATTGACTTTTCCATTAAGTAATTGAAATGTTATGTTATTATGAATCAAAAACTAAATTCATACTGTGCAATCCTACTTATACATTTATTTTACCTTAGAAAGCATACAATTATCACTCATCTCAATTGAGAAATTAAGACTGACAATTTCACATGTGAAAATCACTGAAAACCAAGTAGAAGCCACATCATGAGCATGTACCTTTCTTACCTGATAATCCCGGAAGTTGTTCCGTTTCTTCTCTGAAAACACACGGACCTCCCTTGCAAGACTCAGCAGAGGACGCCCTGAGGGAGCTTTTCCTGCGCTGTCTCAGGGTCTCACCCAGAGGGAGCTCAGCTTCTGTCACCCCTCTCAGTCCTGCTGGTGTGCAGCACAGTGGGGCAGCAGGAATCTCTTAGCTGGGCGAAGGCACAAACCAGGTGTGAGCCAGGAGGGGAGCAGGTGACTGCAGAGGTAGGACACGCTGACACGGAGAGGGCACTGATGACCCAAGGACATCGTGATCAGTGCTTGGAGCAGAAACTCACACTCGCACACTCACACAGATACAAACACATTCCACATGTGAGTGACCTGGAGTAACTCGGTGTGTGCTGGAGAACAATGGTGGTTTCTGGCAGCGGAGGGGGATTTTCAGCTCAGTTCCTATAGAGCTTCAGTTTGGAGAAATGCAGGGACTTTCAGGCCTGGACACCAGTGGCAGTCGCTCTGAAATGTGCGTGTACTTACTAGGACGATATCAAGATGCATTCCATTCGCATAGCATGAAAAGGAATTTAAGAAGTGTTCCGAGCAGCCCACGGTCACAAAGTTACTGACGACTTCTGGGCAGGTCAGCTTGAAAGTCCTGCAGCAATGGGCGAGGCTGGAAGAGGAAGATGAGACAGCGGGCTGAGCTCCTGCCCAGTGTGGAGCTGCTGGGCAGAGCAGGGCTCCAGGAGCCGACCTGTATGGAGTGCGCATGAGGACGCCAGTGTGCAGGTCGCAGGTTTAGCAGAGGGAGTCTGTGGTAGAGGAGGGTGACGCATCACTGTTGCAACCAGCTCAGGTGCTCAGTGCAGCAGGAGGCTCAGCAATGCGCTGGGCCAGGGCAACACGGTTTCCAGCAGGATTGGTCCTCGGTGTTGGAAGAATGTGTAATGTGTGGGTGCAGGAAAGACCCCCGATGCTATGAACTCTTCCTGCCATGGAAGGGGAGAATCAGACAGTAATCTTGGGAGGAAATTACTGTCCACATCTCTGCAGCCCTAGACAGTTTTACTGAACAGGTTAGAGAAGGTGCGGCAGAAGTAGATCAAAGATAGAAATGGGTTTAGAGATTTAGATCCTCTTGAGAATGATTGAGGTAATGATGGAGCTTCACTGGTAGATAAAGTACTAAGATCTCCCAAGTTTCTAGTAATTCAGGCATTTGTGTGACAGAAGAGCCACAGATCACTACAGCAAAATACTTTTGAATGATTAAGAAAGTGAGCATTTGATGTTGCAGTTATAAATTGCAGAAAAAAGCAAGGTCATTTTAGTTGAGGTACATTACTCTGTATGGTGGAACTAAATGTATTCTCGCTCCCCACAGTTGTGCTTCTCTGTGCAGACTCTGTGAGGGCTGGGCCGCCCTTCGGCTGGCCGTGGAACCTGCTCGGGAGTGGTAAAGCCCATGGCTAGCTGTGTCACTGTGGGCATGGAGACAAACCTTGGGTACAGTTCACGTTCTCGGCCCCTTCCTACCTGGAGCTGCTCCTGACTCTGCTGCCCAGCCGCCAGGGACTAAGCAGCTTTTCTCAACTCCACAATTCCTGTGTGGTGTTTCAGCCCTGCAGCCCGCAGTCCATGATCCAAACCTCTGCAGTGTGAGGCAACCTAACCACTACCTTCTGCAGGTCGTGGCTGTCAGGTGTTAAGGCCCAGCATACACACCTCACCTAATGCACTGTCCTTCTAGGTTCTGTGTCTGAGAGTGTTCAGTCATCTTCTTTGGAAAGAAAAAAGACTTGCAGGGTCAATCAATCTCAGGGAAGGTTACTTGACATTTGTAGATTAAACCTTTGAATATGTTCTAGATATGTAAGTTTCATTGTGATGTACATAGCATCCACATAACTAAAATATTGAGTTGATTCTGCTTCTAAGATTATCAACAATGAATAATATAATGCAAGCCAAAATGTAAATGACAGTGTGAATACTTTCCTTCTCATGCACTTCTGTGAGTGTCAAGTAATGTTAATAGCAAATTATCAAAATATGGATTTGTTATAGTAGTTAATCAAACTCAACCTACGAGGTGTTTATTACCTAAAATGTGGAAATATCAGAACAGTTTTCAGGTAACTTTATATACAGCTTAAAACATTTTCCTAATGTCAGATGAAGGACTTAAAATAGATTTCATTTGTTAAAACCACATTTTTCTTGGAACCCGTGCTTCACATGCAGTGTTGAAATGTGGGAGCCTCCCTCATCGCTTTCCACTGAGAGCAGCTACTCTGTCTGAAGTCGTGGACCATGGGAACGTCATCTCAGGTTCCGTCCTCCTAGGCCTCTGCAGCACACCACAGCCCACCAGATTCTCTTTGGGGTAATTGCAGCAGTTATGATCTCCTCCCTCCTTGGCAAAGGCCTCATGGTTCTCCCAATTCACCAGGACCCCGGCTGCACAGGCCCATGTACTTCCTGCTGAGCCAGCTCTCCCTCATGGACATGGTGCTCATCTCCACCATTGTGCCCAAGATGGCATCTGCCTACTTGACTGGAAACAAGTCCATCTCCCCAGTGGGCAGTGGGCTGCAGATCTTCTTCTTCCAGACAACTGGTGGTGCAGAGTGCTTCCTCCTATCAGCCATGTCCTGTGACCGCTATGTGGCTGTGTGCCCACCGCTTCGGTATGCCAGCCTCATGAGCTGGCCGGTGTGTCTGAGAATGGCTTTGGGGTCCTGGCTCCTGGGGTCAGCTGATGGCCTCATGCAGGCTGATGCTTCCCTGAGCTTCCCCTTCTGCAACAGACATGAGATCGATCATTTCTCCTGTGAGGCCCCCACGCTGGTGCGCTTGGCCTGCAGTGACACTTCTGTCTTTGCGTATGCCATGTACATCTGCTGCGTGCTGATGTTCCTCATCCCCTTGTCCCTCATCCTGATGTCCTACAGCCTCATCCAGCTTTCCTGCACATGTGCTCCGAAGCCTGCAAGAAGGCCTCTGCCACCTGATCCTCCCATTTGGCCCTGGTGGGACTCTGTTATGGTGCTGCCATTTTCATCTACATGAGACCCACATCCTACAGGTCAGCTAAACAGGATAAGGTGGTGTCTGTATTCTACACCATCTTCACCCCTATGCTGAACCCTGTGATCTACAGTCTGAGGAACAACGAGGTCAAAGGAGCCCTGAGGAAGTGTCTGAGCCACTGTGCTGCCTTAAGAAGGGACTGACAGTGTGTTTATTGTTAAAACATCAAAAGCTGCATAAAGCATGTGCTTGGGCTTTTTTGTTACAGAGAAAGCACTTAATTATATACATATATACATACAAATACACACACATATATGCATATATCTGTTTTTTGATATTTGCTTTGCAGTTTGGAGGAATCTGTTGGGTTTGGATTTATTTACTGTGGTTTCACTACCATGTCAACTTGTGGTTTGGTAAAACTATGCATCATAAATCTGATATAAATTTTTATGTAACTACCCATGATATAGTTCTGTTAAAATTAAGTAAATATTAGATGAATTTTGAGGATTAATTATTTTCACTTTGTAAATGAAGGTATAATCTGCACACAGTTGAATGACCATATGTGAGTTTTCCCTTCTACCAGTTTCAACGAGTGCCTGCACTTGGAACACACACACACACATACACACACACACACACACAGCATCAGAGACACAACTTCCACCTCCTCAGAGTGGTCTTCCAATCTTTGCCAGAGAAAACCCACACCCAACACACAACACTTGTCTGACTTCCATCCATGTTCTTCAGTCCTGCCCATTCCATAGTAATGCAATCCAACAGTAGATCTTTCTTGTATGTTGATATTCCTTCCATAAGGGTTGTAAGTTTACAATATAGCCCACATTTTCCCGCCTGTCAGCAGTTTGTACTTTTTTGTTCCTTGCAGTATTTCCTGTGTTAGTGTGCTGTATTACTGTTTGTGAGCCCGTTATTTTGCTGAAGGACATCTGTACAGTCTTTGGTTTGGAACTGTTATGATAAATGCTCCTACAAAACTCTCTTATGTGATACTTTTATTGCTTTTGGTGCCTATATGATGAACTTTTTGTAAAACATTTTTCAAGTCCACTTCAATCTTAGCTTAGTGCATGGTGATAGGTATGGGTCTAGTTTCAATCTTTGGCAAGTTGAAATCCAGTTTTTCCAACACCATTTATTAAAGAGGCTATCTTTCCTCCAATGATGGTGATTGGCTCCTTTGTCAAAGATCAGGTGGCTGAGTATGTCTGGAGTTGTTTCTGCATCTTCTAATCTATTCCATGGATCCTCTGGTCTGTTTCTTTGCCACTACCATGCTGTTTTTATCACAGTAGCTTTGTAGTATAGTTTCAAGTTGGGGATTGTGATATCCCCAGCCATGTCTCTGTTGCTTAGGATTGCTTTAGCTATTCTAGGTCTCTTATGGTAAGATCGAAGTGGATTAAAGATATAAATATTAAGACAGAAACATTAAACTTGCTGGAAGATAAGTTAGGTAGAACTCTTGAAGACATTGGCATAGGAAAAGACTTCATGAACGAAACCTC